AAGTGGCATATTTAGGCATCGTTTGGTAAGCCCAAATGTTGTCTTTCCTGTTTCTTACATACTTTACATAACTATTCCCAAAAACTAGGTCCCCTTCCATTGGTCGAAATCTTAAACAAAAGCGCTAAGGTGTCAAACGTCCACGCTAAAGTCAATAAAAAATAGTTAACCATCGACTGTATGTATATGTATATACAGAAACACTTTTGTTTGTGTGGTTCGAACTATTTGAGTGCTTGTTTGTTTTCCACTTAAAACCAGAACAGCAAAAGTATCTATTTGATATGCGACATATTTTGTGTTTACTGCCAAGAAGGCGGCTTGACCGTATTGTCAAAGAGACTAAACCTTTTTTTTTATTCTTGGCATAATTTTTGGCAACAAATTTCGTTCATTTCATTTGGAATGTGGCTGCGACACAGAAAGGCAGCTAATTCGAATCTTAAAGCTGCTGTAAGCGTGAACATTTGCATATATCTATTCAATTTTGACCTATACATTTCTACATATTTATATCTTATCAAATTAGACTAAGAATTAGAAATAGGTTTTAGGTGTGGAAGTCTATTGGCTACTTCACTTAAGCTCTTTAGCCTTTACATACGTCTTGTTTATTTTAGCTTACTTCTGTTTTATTATAATGTCACTGAATACAAATAGGCTACAGATTTGCATGCAAGATATATATCTGATAATAGAAACCACGGTTGCAGAACCAAGAAAAATATTCGTTCCTACTTTTTCTGGGCGTTTCTTGTCGGCGCAAAACAATTCTTTCCTGGGTCTTTAGTGTCGGCACTGAAATTTTGCTTCACACTTTTTGAAATCTTCTATAGACAATTTAAATGTATTATAAATTAAAAATGTTATATCTAATTATTTGTTTAAACCGCGTATTTGATTCATTTTTCATAATCAGAGATTTAAAATCTGTAAAACCCAACAACTTTTTCCAAATTATTTTCAGTTATTTCTTGACAAAATATGGTTTGATTCAGCGTTATGCTCGTTGTTCTTCATCGAGCTAATTAAATTAAAGTCTTCCTTGATAAATATTAAATGTTAGCTAGTATGACGACCCTCAGGTCTCTATGGTCTTTGAGAAAGAGCTATTAAATAAAAATAATTAATGTGTGCTAAAAACACATCATATTTAAAGCTGCCTACCAGCGCTTTTGCTCACCTCAAACAGTTTAATCCAATTTATATACAATCCAATCAATTCTATGTGTCGGTTGCTGTTTATCCAAATATAATGTTTAAAGATAAATATCCAAGCTGTTCCGTTAGTTTATGGCACACAAATAAACGATGCTTCAAAAACGATTCTTGCGTGCAATTAATTTTACAAATTGCTTTACTTTCACCCAAAACTGCGGGTACTCGACTAACAATTATTCATGTAGCATTTGCATATTTACGAGTACTTTGATCTGCTAGACATTTAGCATTTAGCACACTCGCACACATTTGTTGTAGGGGGGCACTCGACACCAAATTTACTTATGTTGCATGCATCTTTTGTTGTTGTGTTGTTGTTGTGGTTGTTGCTGCTGCCGCTGCTGCTGCTGCAGTTTTGGCAGGTTTCGTTAACAGGAAAATTGACTTTATATACAAATATGTATGCATGCATATGAGTAGAAACTACACGATATATAAGTATGGGTAGTAGCGAAAACAACTTTTCGCGAATATTACACACACGCACACACAGACACGTACACACGCAGATGTACACACATACACCCATAAAACGCCCGCGGCGTTTGGCGTTTTTGCGTCTAGCGTAAATCGCGATCTAGAGAGCAGAATCGTTCTGCACGACGAAGAGTCAAAAACACAACTGAAACTTCTTTGGGAAAAAGTATTTTTACAGCGCACGGCACGCGCAATAGACCAACAATGGGTCTTGCTTGGGTCTCAACAGGTCTTGAGCTCAACATTTTGAGTGAGTTTTTTTTTGTTTTTATTTTTGCCTGCCTCTGAAACCAGTTGATCTTGTTTCTGAGTCGGTTTAACTGCTGCTGCTGTTACATGACTCGGCGCTCACTGCTCGCAGCTCCTTTGGCAAGTTCGTGTCCTAAGTCTTTTGTTTTGCCTGCATTGCAATTGCTTTTCTCGTAAATGCATGGCATTATTATCTATGAGTTATTTACGCTTAGCATTTTTGCTCTTGTTATGACCAGACGTGGCTGTATAGCTTTGCTGTTGTTGCTGCTGCTGCTGCTGCTGCTGCTGGTGGCGTGTTGTCGTGGGCTTGGCACATGTTCAACCTCAACCCCCGGACAATGTTTGGGGGCCCCAGGAATGTCCATGGCGGCGGCGACAGGTTTGCTCTCTGCGCACTCTAACTCCACTGCAGCTTGGCACATTTGGCGTAAATATATTGGCTACTGTTTCCAGCTGCAATTGCCAAATGTTTTTTATTTTTGTGTTTCTTTTGAACTCAAATTTTGCGGCGTAGGAGTCGTTGGTTCAATGAACCGAGCCTGCAGAACTGTTACTAAAAAGAGATAGGAGCTATAGGAGCTATGGAACGACCTTGTCGTGTGTGCCAGGTTTCAAACATTTGTGCTGCCATCGTCTTAACTTATTTTAGAATTTATTGCCCGGCCGTTGTTCAGCTTGGTTTAGTTTAGTGTGCCATTGTTCTGACCAGCACGTCGGTTCTTTTTAAATCGTATGACAATAAAGAGCGGCATTTTTCTCCCGACTTGTTGTTGTTTTTTATATATACTTATATTGATTTTTTTTTTGCTTGAAGCTGCCGCAACGTGAAAACCAGTCGCGGTCCGTGCGCTCTGTGCTCTGCTCCTGCCAATGCCTCAAACGCCGAACCGAACCCGAACGACAGGGCAGTCACTTGATCAACTGGCAGCCAACTGGTTAAGAGTTGCTGAAAAGCATGCGCCAAAGAATTTAGCCAGCAATTTTTGGAATGTTTTCAATGTACCAAGTGTGCAAACACCACAAAAAAAAACTGAACAAGAAACCGAAAACAAAAACTCAGTTCTTAAGCTTGTAAATGCAATGACCGAAGTAAACATGCTCTGCCTAAAGATTGCATATTATTTCTAATCGAATTTATGACGTCAATTGTTTAAGAAAAATTACATATGAGGCCGAAAGTTAATAGCTTGCTTTTAATGCATGCAAACTTGATAACATACCTAATATGCCGTGCTGTTGTAAGTGTATGCAAGGGAATGACGGTTGCAAGCGTTTCACTTGGAAGAAACAAAAAAGCAGAGCAGGAAACACCTTCAACAGGGGCTTTGCAAGAAGGGGCTTTGTCAGTAATTAGCAAACAGCTTACTGTTCATAGTGACAATTTGAATATATGACAATTGAGAATATATAAGAAACCAGCGGCTATTTCGCAGCCTTGGCTGAATCAAGCTTTTCGTTTTAATTTTCTACACATTTCCTTTTCTACACATTTCCCGGTCGAAGGAAATTTAAAGGTACGTACAAAACGTTAAAAATTAGCTTTAATTTAAAAAACAAACTGTGAGAAGCACAATCTTTGACCCACATTTTTCAGTAACAAAGGCTGGATTCATTGAAAACGCGAAACACGTCGCGAATAAAAAAATGATTTGAATTCTAATCGAAATATCCAGGATAAGCCGAATTGTATATAGATGATTGCCGAAAGAAATCTTCATTTTACTAGACAGCAGACTTAAACTAAGTATCAGCCAGTTGGCCAGCGCATTGTTTTCAGGAATTTTAATGCTACCCATTACGTTTGTGGCAGTGTTAAGGCCAATAAAGACACAAGCTGTTATTTTACTGAGGCAATTTAAACGGCATTAGCGCTAATAATTTGCTTTTACCTACCTGCCACCTGGAGGGCGAGAGACCACAGGGCCGTAATCTGAAAATCTCTTGCATCACTTGAAAATAATAATTATTGGGCAAGGACGTGACTGTGTCGCTGACGTTTATTGTGACAGCGGAGCGCACCGACTGCTTTGGGTAATCCTACTCGGTGTCCCTCTCCCTTTGTCTTTGCCTTCGCCTGACATCGTCTGAGTTACTCCGGTGCTTAGGTCTCGGTTCTGTTCCTGTGTCGCTGCATGAGGCATAAATCAACACGAGCCGCAAAATGCAACCGCAACCAAGCAAAAGGTAAAACTCAGGTAGCAATACCAAAGACGACGACGACGTCAACATCAAATTCCAAAGCCTCCAAACAAAACCAACGTTCCGTTTGTCGACCCAAACTCTAAACTCAATTAGTGCAGTGTGTGTGTGTGTGTGTGTGTTGCATTCTTTGCATGCCAATGTGGCATTTGATTGATAATTTTGTTACGCCTCGAACATGTTTCAAAATACATTTTTGATAACTTTGGGTTGCCGTTCCCAAGATTTATGACATGTTCTGTTTGAATCTCTATTGTTATTGTTATTGTTATTGTTATTGTTGGGCGTTAGCATGATATTTGTCGCTGGGAAATGATTCTAGCATGACTAAGTGCCCGCATTTAATTGGATACTCCTTATTTAAGCCTTATCTCTTGACTTTTTGGGAGAAAATATCTGGGTTAGCTTGCAGCAGAAGCCAGCAAACCCGTTAGATAGGTACTCATATATTATCCGTTTATAAATAAAAATTAGCTGAAAAATCATTATTATTATCATTACTCTGTATTGCATCAGTTCATTCCCGCTGAAAAATATTGTTAAAATCAAGTTTTCAACAACAAATAATTTATATTTTGATTTATAATCTTAAAATTGCAATATGTTAAAATTTGTATTATAATTATGTACGTAAATATGGTATATCATAAGAAGTTAATTGGCATATCTGTCTGTTGTTATTGATTAGCTGAACTACATTGGAAATATTTAAAATATTTCTAAATATTTGATTAGTGCAAATATGTCAATAATTGCATTCTCTACTTAATTTTTATAAATTGAATTTTTTTAAATTCTGCATCTATGGGGCGTATAACTCTTTGTTTTTGTTGAATATAAATACTTTCTGCTTGAGTTGCTACAATTTATTGTTCCACTACTTAAAATTTGGAGTTTAAGCAAAATTCATATGCAAACTTTGTAGATAAGTTGCTTGTATTAACTTTTGAATAAGTTAAATGTATACATTTCTTCTGACTAAATATTCCATCTCATTGAACGTATGCATCACGCTGTGTTTCGAATGATTCGTTGTGGATGTTTCACAACAAAAGCCAACGGCAATCACTATATCCATGCGGCAATTCATTTCATTAGACTTCAAGTTTCAGTTTGCCGTATTTCTGAAACTTGCTGAGAAACTCGTCTCATTTCTTCACACCAACATATGAAACTGTTTTGCCAGTCTTGCGCAGCTGTTCCAACAGTTCGTCGGACGATAAGTTTGAGGTGACGCTTACTGTTTTTTCATCCAGATTGACGTTTACTTTTTCCACCTTATCTGTAAAATGCCAAAAACAGGAAAAAAAAAACCGACTTAAGTTGGCAACCGCAAACAAACAAATTCCGTCTGCCTGATAAGATTCTTCGAGGCATTACAGTATTAATAGGTACTCAAATATATATGTATAACAGCAGCATTAATCTCTAAATATTTTATATTAATATACGCACCACCCAATTTGCCCAATACTCGCTCCACTGCACTGGCACAGCCGCCACACGTCATTTCCACTTTAAACTCATGCACCTAAACGGAATAGATGGAACATTTTCCAATTAGATTGCGGCTACTTGCAGTAATTGGGATACACACACACACACACACAAGTGTGTATGTTTTGTACGTACTGTCATTCTGCTGCTGCTACTGCTTGGACGACTCGAGTCAGCCGTAGTGTGCTTATAAATTTGCGGTAAATTAAACAGCTTGAAGGCGGTTTGAAGTTTTGTTGCTATTTTGTAAGCGTGGCACACACAACTCTTAAAAGACTTTGCAAATTAATAAACTACTTTTACTTTTGTGTTTGCGCTGCCTTTAGCCAATCGATGGAATTCGATAGTTGCCATGCCTATCGATGTATCGTTGGTAAATAATATTTGCCGGCCCTGTAGGGATACTAATCGAAAAGACTTTGACATGTTGGGTGGTACAAAAGTCTGGATAGATGTGTGTATATTTATTATGAAACAAATGCGTTATTGATACTACTGATTTTGGTATGAAATAATTTTTAGCCAATATTATAAATTACTGCAAGTGAAATGGAAATCGCATCTTACACACGTTTCGGACATGCGCCAAATCTGTATACAACTTGATGATCATACAATTGACCCGGATTGATAATGGTCGTTGGAAAATCGGAATTATTCACAGCGTCTGGATACTTTTGGGTCTGCATGGAGAATCCGCCATGTTGAACGTAATGCGCACCATCCTTACCAATATTGGGTATTTCATCCCGCTCTTCATCCGGCAAATTATTTGCCGTACAGAACTGCAATCCGGGTTGATTGGTATGAACCTCCATAAAACGACCCGAACATGGGTGGACTGCACGGGCCACTAACTTTACTTGATTCGGGTCTACATCGACGCAATAGTTGTTATCAAAGCCGCAGATCGGGCAGCGATAAACCTGGTTTAGGCGCTTGCCCAAATTGGTTAAGGTGGTAAAGTCATAAGGTGTATTACGCACTGGCATAAGCTTGCCGGTAGGTATTTGCTCCTTATCCGAGTCCACAATTGAGTTGGCTCTTATCATTACCATGTGCTGGTAAAGAGTGTCCTTGCCAGTACCATGGCCGGCAAGATTAAAGTAATTTTGGTTAGATATATTGATGCAGGTGGTTGCCTTAGCACGCGCCTCGATTCTCATGCCAAAACAACCAGTTTCATTAAGCGAGAAATTAATGTTGACTGTCACCTCGCCCGGATAACCCTCATGGCCATCTGGAGAAACATGTTGCATAGTGACACCATCCTTATGAATGCCGACCACGTCCCAGATGACGCTGTCGAAGCCCACAAAGCCACCATTCAGATGGTAGCGATCCTTAAAATTTCGGCTCACATTTACATCCTTTCCGCAAAGCTTAAAGTGACCGCGGGATATACGATTAGCAACACGTCCAACAGTTGCACCAAAATATGATTTCTGATTGCGATAATATCCGGCGACATCATCATAGCCCAGACAAACGTCTTCCAGCTTTCCATTAAAGTCTGCAACCTTTACACTCTGTATAGTGGCGCCCAGAGTCAATATTGACACAGACATGCCCTTTTCTGAACATAATGTAAAGCGTCGCACATGCTCGGTTTTCTGCGTCATGGGATTAACGGCAATGCCAAATACATCTTCTATGACGCGTACCATCTTTGTGGTAGGAAATATTAAAATGCTGAAAACTTTTTCTGAACTAAAATTTCGAATGTCATGAATCAAACCGAATTTTTAAAATGTAATATGTGCTAACGTAAGCTTGGCGTACCTAACTTTCCTAAGCCAACTGTATATGCAACCAAAAATTACAGATTTATTAAAATCAAAAATGCTTTAAGGTTATAATTCTCGGGGTGAGCAAATAATACTGACTGAAAAAAACTTTTTGAACTCGCGCCCTTTAGAAAGAAAGATGAGCACATATCGATATATAAGCAATGCATCCTTGCAACGAGCGATAACAATCTCAATTAAAAAGCAGCTGATAGTTAAATATCTAAATCTATAGCAGCTATTCAAATCATAAGGCGCAATTATTGACAATTTTAAACTTCTCCCGCCTTAAGACCCTTAGTCATTCTGTTGCGAATTTAAATTGTATGATTTATACCTTTTTACTCCCGAAAAAAATATAATACATGTTAATATTTAAGAATTGAGCAGAGCAACCATATGTACATCAGTCAACATTTTATGTGATTTTTACAGGTTTTACCAGAATGAATACCCAAAATATACTTACCATCCAATTGGAGCAGTCTCAAGAGGACGCATCAGAGCATACTGTGGTGAGTGCACTCCAAAATCAGCCGCTGGACAATTTAATAATGTATGATCCTTGTGGCATAGTCATCAAATGAATGGGAACTATTGAGGGATAACGCCTTTAGTAGCATTTCTGAACTAAAAAAAATAAAACTTTCGGTTTATAAGGAAAAACTAAATTTATATCACGAGAAATGCAAGATCAAAGATGACGTAATCCTGGCCCTTCAAACATGTTTAGAAACATATAAAAACACTAACCAGAACGATAATGATCTGATAGTGTTCTTAAAATCAAAACTGTCGGAAAGACATAAAAATTTGGAAACATTAAAGAAAACGCACCAAAATCAGATAGCTAACTATGAAGCTGCGATTAGCGAGAAAAACGAAAAGATCGATATACAAGATGCTATTATAAAGCAGAAAGATAAACAAATAGTGGAGTTGGAAGCAAAACTTAAAGAGAAAAGTGATCTCTCCAATGAATATAGAAAACAAATTGCCGCATTAGAAGCAACAGTTGAAGAAAGTGACGCAAAAATATTTGCTCAAGAAACTATAATCAGGGAAAAGGATTACCAAATCGGACTGTTCGGAACTGAGGTTGCGCCCAATTCAGAAAGGGTCAGTTCAAATCAAGATCTGGCGCGCAATTGGAATACCCACAATTTCAATCACGCCGTTAACTGTAAAGATACCGACATCAAATTGAGCAACGATAAATGCAGAATGCAAAACGAACGCATTCTCCACTATACGATCAAAGAACTGCAAGAGACACTACGTGGAGAGGGTACATCTGAGATCAAAATAATTTCCTTGCCACGTATTGGTCCATTTAAGGTAGCTATCGAAAATGGAGCAAATGGCTCCGGCTGGATGGTCATACAGCGACGTGTTTATAAAATGATGGACTTTAATCAAGGCTGGTTTTCCTATGTCGATGGTTTTGGTAACTTGGATGAAGATTTTTGGATAGGCCTGGACAAGATACACGCAATGACAAAAGGTCAACTGTACGAGCTTTACATTCATCTAGTATTTTCGAATAATGAGACACGATACGCCTATTATGATAATTTTGCCATATCTGGTAAAAGTGATGATTATAAGCTGAGATCGCTTGGGAATTATTATGGAAATGCGGGTGATGGATTACGCACACATGAGCAACATATATTCAAGACAATCAGATATGTTACAACAAACTCCGTGGAATACAATCGCTGGTGGCAGCACGAATACCCGAACTGGTAAGTTGCAATTTATTTATAACCTTGTCTTAAATATTTGTTATTTTAGTAACCTGAACGGGGCATTCAATGAGAAAAGTGAATTTGGTGTTTGGTGGTGTAGAGGCAACGGCACTTATAAATTTCTTGAGTCCGTACAAATGTTGGTGAGGCGAAAGCAAACGTAAACTTAAAAAATTCAATAAAAAATCAAATTTTCATAGTTTTGTTATATCCAAATTTTATTATATATATATATATATATATATATATATATATATATATATATATATGTATCTAAATTTATGCAACATCATTTCAGTAGATTGAAATAAATTGAAAAATTAATGTTTTGCTTAAAATACCCTATAACCTTAAATAATACTATACGAGTGGTCCCTGCTAGTCGTTTGCCATTTACAATTGTATATGAGCACAATCTGTTCCAAGGTGATTTCCTTAATCTCAAGTAATAGCTGGACAGTACCTCAGTAGAGAGGTGCATTTTGTGGTGCCATGTTACCAAAGTTCTAGTATAAAAGTCTAGAAAGTTGTCAAGATGCAACCTGGTTCAATTAAGTTCCTAGGGTATCAGAGGTGAAGTGTAGAGATCATAAATTTAATTGACTTATTTAGTTAAATTGTTCGCATAGGACAAAGAAAACTCTTGAAACACTTTAGCTGGGTCCAATCATCTTTTCCGGACGTACCCAGTCGTCAAAATCTTTCTCTGCGATGCCAGCCTTAAGCGCCTCCTCCTTCAAAGTGGTGCCATTTTTATGGGCAGTCTTTGCTATCTCAGCAGCCTTATCATAGCCAATGTGTGGATTAAGTGCTGTCACAAGCATCAAGGATTCGTTCATTATCTTGGCTATCTTCTCTGTGTTCGGCTTAATACCAACCACACAGTTCTTAGTAAAAGTATTGCAACCATCAGCTATAATAATACTATAGCATTTAGTAATTGACATTAAAGGGTCCCTTGGTTTTGAGAACTTACACAGCAGTTTTATCGAACGTAGCACATTGGAAACGATCAGCGGCTTGAAAACATTCAGCTCAAAGTGTCCATTGGAGCCGCCCACAGAGACTGCAACATGATTGCCCATTACCTGAGCACAGATCATTGTCATAGCCTCGCACTGAGTGGGATTCACTTTACCCGGCATTATTGAGCTACCCGGCTCGTTAGCCGGCAGGGTAAGCTCGCCTAGGCCACAGCGTGGACCCGAGCCCAAAAATCGAATGTCATTGGCTATCTTCATTAGGCTGACAGCGATGGTGTTTAATGCGCCATGCACCTCGACCATGGCATCCCTGGAGCCTAAGGCCTCGAAAAAGTTCGGAGCACTAACAAATGGCAAAGATGTCAGCTGTGCAATGCGCATGGCGGCCTTCTCTGCAAATCCCTTGCGGGTATTTAGGCCGGTCCCAACGGCAGTGCCACCCAGCGCAAGCTGATATACATGGGGCAGGACCGCATCAATCCTTTCCAGACCATTTGTTAACTGCTGTGTATAACCGCTAAACTCTTGTCCCAAGGTTAGCGGCACAGCGTCCTGTGTATGTGTGCGTCCAATTTTGATAATATCCTTCCACTCAATGGATTTGTCCCTGAGAGCGTCGCGCAGCTGGGTTATCGCCGGCTTAAGGCTTCTGGTCAGCTCAGTGGCCACAGAGATATGTATGGCCGTTGGAAACGTGTCATTGGAGCTCTGAGATTTATTAACATGGTCATTGGGATGTACCGGATTCTTTGAACCCAGCTCGCCACCCAAAATCTCAATGGCGCGATTGCTAATCACCTCATTGACATTCATATTTGTCATTGTGCCTGAGCCAGTTTGCCATATGGGCAATGGAAAATGGCCTTCATCGAATAGTTTTCCAGATATCACCTCATCGCAAACACCTGAAATTGCTGTGCTCACCTTGCTGTCCAGCCCAAACTCCTGGTTAACCTCGGCAGCTGCCTTCTTCAATATGCCCATGGCCTGTATTACAGGCTTCTGTGAGGGTTATGTGTTACTAAACCAAATTTAAATGAATCCCGCTCTTTATAATTACCGGCATGCGTTCATCCATACCGCCAATAGGAAAATTGTTAACGCAACGCATAGTCTGGGCTCCAAAGTAACGATCGGCGGGCACTTCTATATTGCCAATCGTGTCTTTCTCGGATCGCATAGGCGGCTTGGCCGAAGGCTGCAGGCTCAATTTTTTCTCCATTTGCACACCTTTCCAATTATAATACCAATTACAAAATGTATATATGTATATAAATACAGTATATGAAACAGACGACTTCAAATATGCCTATAAAATTGTAGAGCAAAGCCTTCCTAGGCTCTTACGGTTGCTTTGTTAGGCAGTATACTAAAATAAGTTTCAAAATAACTATTTTGTTGAAACCCAAAAAAAAAAAAATGATGGTGATACAATTTACCTTTCGCATCAACTTTCAGCCGTTGTCTGATTCGCGTATCAGATTTTACACATCCTTGAACCCAAGCCTTGGATCAAGCATTTGATTCTCATATGTTTTCATTATTTAAATGGATCAATTCAATTTTATTCATATAGTGGCCCGTTCAAATCAAAATATTCAAAGCTCAATGATATATTCATATAGAACTTGAGGGCTAGGTTTAATATCTACCACATCTAAATCATTTTTAAATAATGTAAATATATTAAGAATGTACTTTATTGATTCATACGAATATTTAGCTACGTGTGGTAATTTTTAATTGGGTCCCAACATATTATTAACCTGGACCCACGAATCAAAGTCGGTGCTGGAGATGCCCTTTTTAAAGGCCTCTTGCTTCAGAGTGGTTCCATTGGTGTATGCAGCGTTGGCTATTTCCGATGCTCTGTCGTAGCCAATGTAAGGATTAAGTGCGGCTGCCAGCATGAGGGATTCGTTCAACGCTTTATTTATTTTGTCTATATTTGCCTTGGTGCCTTGTAAGCAGTTGGTGGTGAATGCCCTGAGGCCATCGCTAAGCAATGCAATGGAACGTAGCACATTTGAAGCGATAAGTGGCATGAAGGCATTTAACTCAAAGTGTCCATTGGAGCCACCGATGGTCACAGCCACCTGGTTGCCCATTACCTGGGCACATATCATTGTGATTGCCTCGCACTGTGTGGGATTAATTTTGCCCGGCATTATCGAGCTTCCCGGTTCGTTCTCCGGTAAAATTAACTCCCCCAAGCCGCAGCGTGGTCCGGAACCCAAAAATCTTATGTCATTTGCTATCTTCATGGTGCTGACAGCTATAGAATTGAGCTCGCCATGCACCTCGACCAAGGCATCCCGTGAGCTGAGTGCCTCAAATAAATTGGGTGCAGGCACGAATGGCAAGCCGGTGATATCCGCAATACGCTTGGCACATTGAGGCCCAAAATCATCGTTGCCCATTAGACCTGTACCCACGGTAGCGCCACCAAGAGACAGCTGGTACAGTCGCTTCATTGATGAATACAGTCTTGTGTTGCAGTTGGCCATCATTTGCTTGTAGCCGCTAAACTCTTGGCCTAGTGTCAATGGCCCTGCATCCATGAGATTTGCGCGCCCGGTCTTGACAATAGCCTTCCATTCATCCTCCTTCTCTTCTAAGGCCTGAATAATCAGCCGTAGTGATGGATATAACTTCTCCTTTAGCTGCATGGCCACGGCAATATTAATGGCCGAAGAAAAGCAGTCATTGGAACTTTGAGACATATTGACATGCAGGATCGGATCTACTGGATCCTTGCTGCCCACCTGACCACCCATTATTTCAATGGCCCGATTACTGATCACCTCGTTAACATTCATGTTGGTTGACTTGCCCGAGCCTGCCTGCCAGATGACCAATGGGAAGTGATGCTCATCATATAACTTGCCGGATATAACTTCATCAGTAGCTTTTAAAATCGCCTCACAGATTTTGACTTCCAATCCGAAATCCCTGTTTACCTCAGCGCCGGCTTTTTTCAATATACCCATGGCTACAATAATGGGACGCTGTTGGCACATGCTGGCATCAGCTCTGATCCATCAATAAGCAGCAGCTACTTACCGGCATCAGCTCTTCCATGCCACCAATTGGAAAATTCATAGCTGCACGCATTGTCTGTGGTCCAAACATGCGGTCCAGCGGCACGTTTACCGCACCCATCGCATCGTATTCGACGCGCGTATCCGGTCCTGTTAGACGGGCTAGTTTGTACATGAGACTGAACATTTCCTTCTGGTCGAACGACATCCTGAAATCTAACAAATATGAGAGTCTAGCACTGTGAGTACGTTGTGTTGAAAGAAGGAAGCAATTGTGAACGCAGGCTACTAGGATCAGTAATCCTGTGTTTGAAAATAAACGAGGATTTGTGCTCGAATTACTGATCACAAAATTGATGTTGTATTACCTAAGCCAAAGGGCAGTCCTGTTTAAAAAATTTGCTTTCTTTAAGAGAATTGGGATTGGGTATCGAATAAGTGAAACGTTCTTAATCAATAATATAATACACTTAATAATGAAAATATAACTAGATATCGTAAAACGATGAACTCTTACTGCTATTGTAGTTTTGTTTTGTAGTTTCCAAAATTAATGCGTTCACACAGATAAGCAATACATTTACTCTTTTAGATCAGATGCTAATGATAAAATAAACAATTATATAATACATACTACCTATAAAACTGTCAGCTTTTATTGGAAGATCATTTGTTATTACAACAGCATTTCCAGGACTCTTCTACATTAAACTTGTAAATGACCTCATGTAAGTATTTCTCGCCCGGGTGGAGGAAGACCGACGGAAACTCTGGATGATGCTGGTTCATGGCGTCGGGAAATTTTTCTGTTTCTACGCAAAATGATCCATGCTTGCGATAATGAGTACATTCCTTTCCAATCATTGGGGCATCACCATTCTCCTCGTCCGGCAAATTGTTGGCCGTGTAAAATTGCAGACCCGGCTGATTAGAATAAATTTCCATGGCTCGGCCGCTAGGTGGATGCACTAGCTTGGCCACCAAGTTAATGCCAGTATCGTTGCCCTCGTTGACCACAAAACAGTTGTCGTAGCCCTTGATCAGGCGATTGTCGAACTGCTTGAGACGATCGCCCAGTAGCACTGGTAGGCGCATATCAAAGACCGTATCGTCGACATCCAAGAATTTACCGGTCGGAATTTGATCATCATCCGTGTCGATAATCCTTGTGGATGCTATCTCTACAGTATGCTCGGCCAGTCCCTTGGCCCCAGTGGCGTGACCAGCCAAATTGAAGTATGCATGATTGGACAAGTTGACGGGAGTCATTTTGTCCGTAAAAGCCTCATAACGAACACCCAGACGGTTCTGATTATCTAGCCAGTACGTGATCGTTGTCGTTAAATTACCTGGATAACCTTCGTGACCATCGGGTGACACGTGCCTGAAGGTGATACCCAAATCGGACTTGCGCACCACCTCCCAAATGACGCTATCGAAACCAACGAATCCGCCATGCAGCTGATATGTATTCTTAAAGTTTTTGGTCAGCTCATACTTGGTCTCACCTACGGTGTACTCGCCATTGGCCACACGATTCGCCACGCGGCCCAATGTACCGCCTATGTATGCCGCTTTGGTATTGACATAACTGGCAATGTCATCAAAGCCAAGGCACACATCCTCGATCTTTTGATAGGCATCAGGCATACGTACACTCTGAATAATGGCGCCCAATTGTATAACCGAAACAGACATCTGATTTGTATTGGTCATTGTAAAACGTCGCACCATTTCGGGTATCTTGGTGAAGGGATTCTTGGCCAGACCAAAGATTTCCTCCTCAATTTTGACAGACATATTGCGGCTGTTGATCTTGGTTACCTAGTTAAGCTGACAAAATTTTATGGGTTCTCACTCAAATAACAATATTATAACAATTACTGCTAGGCAGCCTGACACACCTCTTCTTATTGTACTTGAAAAACGTTAAGGTCGCGCGCTGTTATCGCAAAGTCAAAAAGGGCAATAGATGCAGCTCTCCCGGTGCTTAACAAACTGATGCATTTCTAAAATGCCAGCGGGTTTTATTATTGAACAGCGACGTTTGCTGATAGAACATGTAGATGTGTGTGTCTATACGAGTTGTATTAGGTAACTCAGCTGACAGTGAGAGAGATTCATGAGCACAAAACCTATATATGATAAGACAACGATATACTAATGTATATGTTTACATTTTACATATTGCATCCATAATACAATTGTAGGAAGCTTAGGTTCGTATTCCGGTTGTTATTTGACTGTACAACTTTTGTTTGAAATTGTCAGTTTATATGACAAGCATAAAATCGTATTATCTTAAATAGGCACTATAGCGCCATATATAGTAGCATATTTACACAATTCCAATAACAAAAAGTTAAAAGCCACAAACTGCTCAGTCTATTATCTATAAATAGTATGTACACAGGCTCACATAGCGATAAGCCTACCTGTCCGGCCATAAATATTTACATGCATTGATCTATGCGAATTTTAATACTTATTTATATTAAATAAACGAACGCCATGGAACTGCGGTAGCTTTGGCAGCGTGACTACAACCAAGGATATAAAATTTGCAATGAAATGTTCCGTGCTGTTGCGCGTATACAAACAAGTTAACAGAAAGCTGCAAGTAACAATATTCTATGAGAAATTCTCAATAAATAGTATATACAAATGCGGACTTACAGTACAATTGGCACTGCGGTTAGAAATTTACGTGTTGGAGTCAGTTGAACGCCGTCATCTATTTGCTCCCAGTGGGTCCATTGCCGACTAGCGTCATTCTCGATGCTCAGCCAAGGTGCACCTTTTATAATATGCAGAAAATATAAGTGTGCCTAGCAGCGGATAATTAGTATTATTTGTAATAATAGGTTGCGTATATTTTGTGGGGCACATATATACTTACTACGTTATGCAGCAAATTGGTTGCCGTCCAGGCGACGGAAATCGTAACAAAGGGCACTGATAACAGCAGCAAATGCACAAACAGCAGTCCCAAAAAATATGCAAGCCAGAAGCCACGGGCGCTTAGCCATGAGCTATTCGGATTCGTTTCACCATGTCCACCAGCAATAGATGTCATTTTTACATGGAGTAGTTGGCGCTGTTAAAGTGTCAATTGTTGTAGACAATAGAGATGAACGGATATATAAAGTGCGATCAGGTAATAATATCACTGTGACTATCGAAACGCAACATTGCGTATCGATAATACATACAGAACATACACTTATGATCTAGTTCAGTTCACGAAAACTACTTACCATTAATGGCCAGTTTTGCGAAGTCGCGTTTGTTTTTCTCCCAGATACAAGAAGTATATGTGCAAACGCTGTTTTTAAAGTATAATTGTAATTTATTATACAATGGCAATTGTGATTTGTTGCAGTATTTCATCTTAAGATTCTAAACGAACTACAATTACAATGAGCGGAAGCCATTTAAAAACAGGTACGTTTTTTCTTGTCTTCTCGGTCTAACAAATTTACATATGTTAAAATTTAATGGCTATTCCAACAGCCGGATATGGCAGCCACACAGCCGTGGTGATACCTATACCCAGCATTGAGGAGAAAAACAAGAAAATGCAGCAGGAGACAATGATGGAGAAGCTGCGAGCCAAATACCGGAACAAGCCGAAAAGCTACGAGGACATCAAAAAGTCGGTGCGCATGTACTTCATAGAGAAGCATTATCCGATGGATCCCCTCTGCAAAGCAGCGCTGCAGTCGGCACTGGACAAACTGCAGCACTACATCAAAGTAACATCCCGACACGGACTCGTAGAGCGTTTAGAGAGTCTGTCCCGCCAGCTGGGCCTAAAATTCATGGAGGATCAGCAAATGTTATTCATTTCCACGGACATGTTCTATGTAGAGATACTGTTGGATGCCAGTGGGAAACTTAGTGATGTCAAGGTCCACCACGAGTGCAAAATTGAGCAGCAATCAAATTCCAGCGCCAGTTCCCGAGAGCTGCTCAACTGCCTTAAGGCGGGCGACTTTGCCGACTTTACGGTGCAGCTAGAAGGCTTATCCTCCATTTACCAGCTAAACGCGGAGCCTAAAGTCAAAAAGAAGGCATACGTGGCTTTGCAGGCCATGGAAACGGACATTTTTAATCTCTATCAGCACCAGCTACAGCAGCAGATCAGTGGCAGCAGCGATAGTTACTACATTATGAATAAATCCTCGGTGGGCTTAGTCCAGCAGCGACGCGGTGGACATCCAATGAAGTTGACCTACTTCTGTCCGCCCTTGCATCTCATCGAGACGAAAACAAAAGGGGAAAAGGTGGGCGCTGCAACTGGAAGTGGAACTGCGAGCAGGGACTTCAGCATTGAGCAGGTGATGAAAAGTCCTAACGGGCTAAGCGCGACACTTAATCTTGAGGCCTCCTCCGCGAACAAGCTGCAAATCCTCCCGATTCTAAGCTTCACTAGCGAGTCGGGGCTGCCGCTAGAGCAACCCGGCTATGCGCCGCTCACGCAGAACAACTCAATGCTGATGCCGGCTACCTATGTCCTGCGCCTTAGCAAACCCATGCCCGTTTGCATTGACTCTCTGCGTGCTTTGTCTCTGCCGGGGCTGTCGGGCCTGTCAAGCGAGGGAACGACGACTGTCATGAATCTGATCGTGCAAACGGCCTCCAGGCAGGTGATAAAGGGCACCCAGAAAGGCTTGTATGTTAATTTGCCAAGGGAGACACACTGCTACTTCTTAACGGACAACCGCCGACTGAAGGGTACTCTGATATCATCCCTGCCATTCACGGAGCCTGCGCAAGTGCCTAAGATAATCGCGTTCCTTAAAAAGCAGGCGCTCTTCTACACGCTTCTCTCCAGTTGCGTCAGGGAGCAGCAGAAGCAATACAACGGTGCGTATTAAACATATCATTAGAACACGAGAGTAAAATAATTGTGTGATAAAAAAAAAACAATTTGAATTCGTTACAGACATGGATAGTACTGTTATTTTGGAGGTCACTGCTGTTTCGCTCAATCAGATCACTGTGGAACTGCAGCATCCGTACGAGGAGTCGCTGGCCACTGTCGATTTTTTGCTTGAGGACAGCCAGGCGACCTGCACTATTTACTGCCTCAGCAACGATTACGAAGCGCTCTCCCAGAAGCTGACTCGAACAGTGCGCCAGGTTCTCTCCATACCGATGGTTATATACAAGTTGCTTAAGTGCTGGGATGAGGAGCATCAGCAA